GATGTAATTTATATGCTCGGATGTACGATCCTTAGGGATTGTTTTAGGAAAATTCTCGGTTTGTCTTCGATGACTTACATAAGGAATATCCTAGAATGATTCTAGATGCAAAATTGCAAATCCATTGACTTACCTATCGGTAAAAGCCAGAGCCTATCCTTTTATGATCTAGTGAACATGAATTAGTCATGAGTCATTACCTAGTTAGACCTAAACCTTTAAAACTTATCTTTGAGAACTCATATTAAGATGATTGGAATTAGTTTATGACATTGGTCATGAACCAGTGGCTTATTATACTTAATCACATTAATGAGATGATGACACGATGGTTTGAGTAGGCCTTCTCGGGCCCACTCGCTTATGACATCCTGCTCTCATGTGAATGTGTAACTTTGTTCGCAATGGGTGCGCACAAGTAAGTAGGAAAGCCATAGAAGGTCATTTGTATTGGCGCATTTAGTCCACTATGATATTTGTGACTAGATATGTGTAAGGGTATGATAGTTAAGCCTCAATCTCGACACATTTATAGATTATGATATGCATCTGAATCAAGACTAATTGATCTCCCATAAGTCAAAAGTTTTGAGATGATTTTTGACATAGCACATATGAGGTTGAGATTAATGAGATAATAGCTTTTGTGCCTTTAGTTTTGACCAAGGTGGCGAGTATCTATTTGAGTTATTTTAGAAAACTCTGTAAAGAGAGGTAGATGCTTAGAAAATTGATTATTCCTAGTACTCAACAACACAATGGTGTAGTAGAGATAAGGAATTAAATATTGTTAATGTTAGGTGGATAATGGCGCAAAATGTTTCCCAATTGGGAATTGCACTAGTTTGTTGCTTATATCCCTAACTAAGTGCCCTCCATATCAGATTTTATACTCCATTTGAGCAATGGGTTAGTGGAGAGCCATCTATGGGCAATCTGTAATCGTTAAGCAGCTTATCTTTATTTTACTTCTCATAAGATTACGAAGTTAAGACCTAGGGTTCTATAACGCATTATTGTATGCTGTCTTGTAAACACAAAGGGTCTTGTGGCGCATTATTGTATGCGGTCATGCAAACCCTCTGGGTCATGTGCATATAGGTAAGTAGCTTTGTGGTAGTGTAACTAAGTCACATAAAATTTTCTTAGTAAAGGTGACGTGAATAGAGTTTTGGAACTCTATAAGATAGAGATTTTTAAGCATGGCGCTTTATGCAGCCTAGTTGAGAATGGAAACAAATTTCCAATATCCTAGGGACAGTGGGAGCGATGTGCTTACTAATGGATTACTCCATTAGAGAAGAATACTCTACATTCTTAGTTGCGTGGTAGCGAATGTGAAAATTTTCCACGTCATCACTGGGTGATTGAGAGGGAAACATTCATGATTGCTCCGCAAGATGATAAAGAGCCTAGGATAATGCCTAGGCTCTAGTCCCTTATTTTTAGAAAGTGGATCAATGTTGCGCAGTTTAAGACAAAGTCTTTGAGGATTAACTATTTTTATAATTTGGTTGACTTTCCATTATGACGCAAAACTATTATAAAGTTATGCGTAATTTGGATAGTCATTGTTGAGGCATAAGGCTTGCTAGATACCGAAAAGTCGCACCATTGAGGAAATTGTAGATCATGAGAAGATTTCCTCCTGGGGAGTGAGGTTATTTTGACTTAGGCTATGATTGACACAAGTTCGGAACATTGATTTGTGGACATTGTGACCCAACTTTTTCGTTAGAGAATTGGATAAGTAGATCCGTAGGGATTTTACCTTCTGCTTTTATGGTGAAAAGTTAGGAGTGCAAAAAGGTTGCTAGTTCCAATAAATCTTTTACAGCCTAAAACAGTTATCCAAACAGTGGTTCTTAGATTTCGTCAAGCCATGATAGGCCAACGATGATCGATGAAGACCACTAAGGCATGATCAATGGTCCAAAAGAAGTTTTTCCTTACTTAGTCATTATGAGCCAGGAATTTAGAAGGTTGTCGCCACCTAGGGTGAGCAGTCCTCTATTTTAGATATGATGGACATGGGTGATGTAATGCTCGGATGTACGATCCTTAGGGATTGATTTGGGAGAATTCATGTTTTGTCTTCGATGACTTACATAAGGAATATCCTAGAACGATTCTAGATGCAAAATTGCAAACTCATTGACTTACCTATCTGTAAAAGCCAGAGCCTTAGCTATTGAGTGAATCCTCGGATTGTCTTTGGGAGAAACAGATGACCTATATTCCTTGATCTTTTCTTTGTTGTGGGAGCCTACAGTACGCTATGTGGGCGTATTCGGCATGATAAGTGTTATCTTTAGTAAATGGTCAACTTAGTTGTTTAGACATTGACCTTGCTCATTAGATTGTGGATAAAATGCTTTACTAGTAGTATATTAATTTGCTCCTTGTAAGATTCAATGCGCTAGTTGGGTGCATATGCGCAAGTTGGGCGCATCAAGAATGAACGCAAATTGGTCACCAAAATATCTTTAGGGAGGTTATTGCGCAAGAGGTAGTGATCTTAAATCACTTCATGTGAGGCGCACATGGTGGATTCCGTTGTATATACTTATCGCAAGAAGTGCTGATAAGGTCTATGTTTGGAATCTAGAATTGTGATCTTGAATCACTTCATGTG